CCCCCTCCACCTCTCTCACCCCCAGCCTCTTTATGACGGGCTCGCATTTGCATGATATCAATTATCAATATCCTTCACATCTGCTGGTGCTTGGTTAATATTCAAAGCACTTTAATTTCAATTCATTCTTTGTTATTCGAGTTTTTCATCCCTTCTCTCTAGCTTCCTCAAAGTTTAACAGCTGCGGAACATCACATTTGTGATCACTCTCGAACCTGCATTCTTGATCTTGGTTCTGCAGCTTTTGATGTCAAGTTTATTTATTGATCACACAGTCCCTTTTCTTAATTTATTATCCATGACTGAATAGTGCAGACGTACTTCACTTCGCCATGGATGTTATTAATCAACAGCTATTCCATAGTATTGCACGCAGACACTGAACAAGAAAGCAGTATTTACCGTATTCGATGACTAACCACTAACAAAATAAGACTCTTGAAAACCCCTTTTTAAGTTGCTTAATTTTTCTACCACTGTTTATGTATAGAATGTTCTCACTTCTGATCTTAGGTCACAGCTATTCGTTAGACTTACTTTGCATAATAAAACTGTGTAAGGTATATATTTTGTATTTTTATTTAATAACGAGTAAATAAGTCCGGTTTTTGTTTGTTATCGTGATAGATATGATAACTTGAGTAATTTTCTTTCCCTGTCGTTAGACGTTTCCTGATTGTCCATCTTTTAACCCTTATAATTTAGATACTGTACTAAAAAGCGATAAGGTCTTGGCATATTTACTCTGGAACTTTTGTACGCTCTTCTCACTGTGCTGCATGTAGAAGGTACTAGATACCATCCAATGGTGGAAAAGGATTAGTTCTAACTTTCTTTGGAAAAGCATTTTTTCATTTACTCTTGTGTACCTTCTGTCAATCCTTAGTAATTGGGGTAGCGTAATCAGTAAGATAATTACCATCATAATACTCTTCAGCGGACACGAGGTACTTTATTAAAAAAGATAATCTACATTCTTCCAGACACAATCAACGTTTATGCCAAACCCCGCATGTTCCATAAAGGTTGTTGTGCTTTTCACAGCTTCCCTCATTTCGCTAAGTGAATGCATCGAACACTTCTCTGTAGAATTTTCGTAGAAAGTTTCTTAGACCATCTTTACTAACGAGTTAAGCTAAAAGTCACGAGCTTGAGGAAGTAAGATGAGAATTGAGCTGAAATTTCGTTGTTATTGTATGATTTGAAATAGAAATTTTTCAGTAAAAAATCTACCCATTGTCTTGGTAGGGAATACCCTTTTTCGTCAGCACTTTGAACCAAATATCCACCTTTTACCGTTTTCTTCACCTAACCACAAAGTAAATACTTTGCATAAAGGTGAATATATATTTTCACCGTAAATCGTAAGTTAGCTGATCCAGACCAACTCCTTTGACAAAATCATTGACCGCGAAAGTGGATTCTGTCAAATCACTTTTCAAGGCGCCCAAAAATAGATAACTTCTCCTTCAGTGAAACATGGTTGCTAGTTTAACCATCGTAATTCCCAGAACTAGTTTTACACTAGTTTGAGATAAGCCTAGTTGGGGCTTTTAGAGTGCCTCAATTATGTAATTATTTGATAGCCTTAGCTACCTTATATCACACCTTTCTTCCATAGCTCTTTGTGATTGCCACTATGTGTGCAAATATCCTCAACAAGAAACCAGGGGTCATTTTAAGACCACATTTTGGTGGTAGTAGTAGTGGTTTCCCACCTCGGATGACTCATCGAATAATAGTACCCACATTCCATTCAAAAGCAAACCACACCAATGATTGGTGATATAAGTTAGGCCTGGGTCCCACGTAGTGAAAATTATTCCCTTGATTTATGAGATATTAATCCCACTAGGCCAATATGGGGAAACAATCTCACCAATTATTGCCTAGAATGAGAGCATATGGATGCCCCTAATAAATCGACCCACTCAACTATTCCAACCTACAATGACGAGTAGAAAGCCACCATTTGAATAAGAACACAAAGCAGGATAAGATGAAAATAAATAGGGAAGTTAGATGGGCTATGTTAGTTGAACAAACAAGGAGTTGGATGTACATGCCAAAGGAATAAATTTAAAAATATCTTGAAGAGGAGAGAGAAGGATCAACTATTTGGCAAGAATGTCCATATTCAATGAGAATTCGAGCGAATAGCAAAGTATCCGCCTCGGAGCTTTCCTCTATTACCTTAAGAAACACTTATTCAGTTGTATGCACTACTAAAATAATGCTAACTACATCGTTCTGATCTTGAAAATTTAGAGCAAAAAGCACTAAACTGAGCAGTTGGCTCTGGGTGTGGTGAACACTAATTTAAACCAGAAAAATGATGAAATAATGAAATTTGGACGCTGGAGTAAGTGACAACTTTTGCAACCTGAACTCAATAGTCTCTTAACCGACATTTCATTGCTTTACTGTTTTCTCTCCTCACAATCAAAGGTCACATGTGGTACCCTCTCCGTGGATTTGTGTACCTTCGTGAATGATGAGCATACTTATTATAAGACTACTCGGCGCATGAATTGCCATTATGGGCATTTTCCCACTTTTAACTAATCTAAAATAAGTAGAACATATTCTTCCGTTCGCAGTCAAGCGCGACAAACTGATCAGTGGATAACGAGTAAGATCTGTGGATTAAGTTACTGATGGATCAATTATAATCAACAACAATCTATGTGGACTTCTGGCATTTTTCCAGCATTCCACATCATTCTTCGAAAATTTTTGGTAAGTTTTAAAATAGTCCGAACAATCAATAAAATCTGGTGTTTTCTGGCTTGTTTAAAATGTTGGCAGATAAGCCGTCAAGGTCATTCTTAATTTGCCCATTAATTAAATACTCTAGATGCATTATTTCTCAAGCCAAACTACTTTACGAACTCCATTCGATAGCGAATAAGTATACATTTTGGTAGTGGAAAATACACCCATGGCTCTGTTAGAACGCACACCTGAAGAGTCGCAACTTTCTTCTTAAAGGGCAACGTTTTAACCAATATGCGCAACATGATACATTAGAATCCCTTCCTCTGGAACTGGTTTTTCGAGAACTTTTCATCCACATGAATAAAATCTCGCCAGCACTGCGTCACCCAACTAACCAATCTTCTGCATCTAAGGTAAACACAGAGTTGCAATATTTTAACAGTACTGAGTTCTTCGCTGGAAAAAATCATTATTATACATTATATCATTGTTTATTCTACATTCCAAACCTCGGAAATAGAAAAAAATTGTTTCGGAATATGCCAATTACTAAATTCTAAGATCATCTAGAAAAATGAGCGAAGAGACGGTAACTGGATTCGACCTTTGACTGCTCCTTCAACAAAGAATCGCTAAAACACAAAGAAATTTAATCAAAACATACTACCTAAGTACAATCAGTAGAGGAGAAAATAGGGGAGACCAACCTTAGCAGGTCCGCAAGCATCAACAAGATCAAGGCCTAGACCTCTCAAACTGAGCAGAGCATCGGAAACCCCAAATTTATAACTGAGTCGACGAAGACGGGCTAGATTACTGGAGGCAGGTCCAGAGTACGTTAAGGGTCCACCGAAAACCTCATCCGGTGTGTAAAGGGCTTGAATACCCTCAATAAAGACACCCATTGGGAAGACTGAACGTTGACGCTCAGATGTGAATTTTGCAAGGTATTTGGGGCTTGCTAAAAGCATGAGAAATGTGGTTAAGCTCGGTTACATTGTACAATCTACCATACAACAAATCCTTCTCCTAAAGCAATACTTCTCAAATGAACACAGAAATCGTTGCAACATCGACACATAGAAAACACTACTTCAAATATAGCCTTCACAAACCCACTCTGGAAAGTCTTAACACTTTAGCAAAAGAGGAAAGGTATATAGGAGTCCCTTTCTTGGGAAACTCAAGTTCAGCCATCCTTCTTATTAACAAGAGTTGATCATTTTGGTTAGCCATCCAAGTTACTAGATAAGTACAGATGGATATTGATCTAGAGGCCACTGACATATTACCCACACACGTTAGTCACCTTTCCATTGGTTCACACAATTTCAAGTAATCGCTTTAGTTTAACCATGACTTACAAGCATGAAATAAGTAGACGACAACAATACATTCTTACCAATATCTTCGCCATAAAATAAGGCTTTATTGATCATTTCAGCCAAACAGGCAGCGTCGCCGAAACCCATATTTATACCTTGGCCAGAAAGTGGTAAAATACGATGAGCAGCATCACTAAAATCAGGAAAATCGACTGCTTAAATCCTGCAGAAGAATAAAATAAGTAAAGATATGGTAAATTTACCCAATAAGAGCCACTCGAGGTCCATGATAGAAAGTACAATGGCTAAAGTTCAAAGGAAAGACAGCCCTAGTACCGGGTTGTACGGAGAGGACTTTGGGTGGATCAAAGGAGGTTTTCTTGTTGGAAACGGCCATCCGAAGAGCCTTGGCAAAGGCTGAGACGACACCTTTGGGATGATAGCAAGGTTGAGACATGTGGTTATTCAGCTCGCGCACAAATTCCTCGTCACTAAGGCCCATCAGGCGTTTCGCTTCAGCACGGGTTGTGCTCCAGGTGACGGAACACCTCTGTGGTCCAAACTATGAAGGTAACAGATAAAATATTGAATGCAATTTTTTCGCCAGCATAGTGATGGAGCGTGTAACAAGTCTAATTTTCTCTTTTAGGCGATTGTCACCAAATCTAAATCATGAGGAGACAGAGAGCAGAGGAACTTGAACAGTAAAACCGAGATAGGCCAGTTCATCTATCAATAAATAAGTTAATTTATAGCACACAGAATAGTTGATCAAAGGTAGAAGGAGAAAATGGAGGACTGAAAAGAAAAAAGATAAAGTAGAAAAATGAAGTCCCCAATCTTTAAAATTTTAACCGATTTTGCACGATTTCTGAGATGTGAAAGCCTCATGATTGGAGATAAAGTAGCTTTTGGTTGCCAAGAAGTGCAGATACCATCATGTCACTTAAACTTCACATGAAATACTACCTAGTACAAAATATATAAAACACGTGGTAGATTCACAATTCATATTTGTAAAATAACCTTTGAACGTTACAATCATGAAATCAGGTATGAAGCAAGGGGCATATTCCTTCCCGAGTATGGCGCAAAGGGATAGACCAAACAACTAAAAGGCATCAAATATGAATCAAGAGAATAACTTTTATAAGACACTTTGATTTCACAAAATATGTTCTATTATTTATCAAATAAATACATCGATTTTTAGGCCATTTTACCATCAAACTGCCAATAGACTGCTGACATAAACCAAATATAATAAAAATCTTTTAAAAAATAACGTACTGGCAGAAACGCTATTGGACCAGTCTCAGTGAAACGTTGCCAAGCGACCGTATAATCATAATCCTACAAACAAGAACAGAATTAATATTATTAGGCTTCCCCAAGTATAAGTAAATGGAAATAACATACAGGATTAAGGTTAAGATTTGCAATGATAGCCGACTGATCATGTTGCCAACCGATAGTATGAATTCCTGAAGATCTACGGATTAAAGAATTGTGCCCATCTGCCCCAACAAGCAAGGATGTCTTTATTGTACTCGTTTCATTCGAATCGCCTCGAAGAATTGTGAGCTCAGGAAGATCACTATCTGCAAAGGTCTTAGGCAAGTGAAGATCTTTAACAGAAGAATTAAAGATAAATTCGACGGAACCCGGGCGTGATTTTGAGCCAGATTCAGCAGCAAGTACTTCCACAGTTTTTAAGAGACTGTCTACAACTAGATCATTCTCTACTATATAGCCCATGACGTCCTTTGGATCTGCCCTTTCAAGAAGAAGGTTTGCCGTTGTTCCATTTTCAATTACCTTCATCTTGTGAATGGCCTGAAATCGAGTTTTTTCGATTCGATCCCATGCGTTAACGCTTTCAAGTAGGGTTCGACTGATAGGAGTAAGAGCCACAACACGAATGTTGTGATTTTCAGTCTTGATGTACTTTTTCTTAGGTCCAGCTTCGATTACCAAGATCTTTTTGTTGCGTAACATTGGGTGTAAACCTAATTGTTGAATAGAAATATAAGAAACGTACCTGCAAACGCAGTAAAACCGAAGCCGGCCATTCCACCACCAACAACGACTACGTCATATTGGGATTTTAGAGGTTGTGTCGATAGACCACGACACAAATTCCTGACGCGCGCACATACACTACTGGAGGCCCCGCCGATCATACTGAACATGTGCACAAAGCTAGCGCTTCAGTTAAAAAAGGTATTAAACACATTATTGAAACATTGTAAATTAATATCAACTAAACATACAGTGCATTAGTTGCATTATTAAAACATAGCACAACTTCATCAAAAGATTATATTTAGACAATTTTTCTTTCCTTTACTGATCGTTTGCAAAGCCTGAATATCTTGTCGAAGTATTTTTTTGGATTTATCGGATATAACATATTAAACTCAAATTTTTGTTTTGTAATATTAAATGGTAAAGATTCAGGTTCGAAGGAAACAAGCAAAAAGGGATTTATTTCAATTTCTATATATACGATTTGATAAATTTAAGCCCAACGCCAAATAGAAGGAAGTGTACGTGAATTGTGAAAGATGTCTTATTCAAACCTAAACATCTTGGAAAATTTTGTTAAAACATATAATCAACACAGCAGTTGCATGAAACAAACAAAACTAATAGGCTAGATATTAGAAAATTGATATTTAAGTTGTTAGCTGTCGAAATTGAGTTTCTACTAGTAGTCAACCTGGCCAGTCTTATCGCTGATAGCTACTTTCGTGGAAACTATTACAATTTTAAAATCTATTTATAGCAAATAGCAACCTTATTAATAGTTATCATTTACCCTTTAGTTGACTTCGGTCTTCAAAGAGGGGAAGAATATCAGAGTCTCAAAAAGTCGAAAGGGGGAACGGAAAATTATTCACAGATGTAAAAGAGACAGACACGAATTTGGAAAAAAGGTAAAATGAGCACTGCTCGAATATGATATATAGTGGGGTCATGGCATTTTAAATTCAGAAGTCAAGTGCTGGTTTGTAGGCATTATTTCCTTTGAGAATACGTGGAGTCAAGTCTATCGCACAAATCAGAATCATAAAATAAGTATTTATCTCGAATTGGCAAGATACAAAATACTCAACAACTACTTTTGTTCCAATCAGTACTTTCAAATTTGGCTTTATGCTTGAGAGTAACCAATGTTTCTTTTTTAGGCATTAATAATTTCATTTAAATACAGCTTCCAGGTGGCCTATCATGAAAATACAATTTTTTCATCTTAACCTTTTTCAATACGAATTATCTGAGTTAAGTTTACTGCAATTAAACTTCCTCAGAGACTTTCGAATCACTTCAAAGCTCGTATCTATTGCAATTATATTTTAAACCTCTTTACCTATTTATATTAATGATGCTAATTTAGCCAGAGTAATGTAACGCATTTGCAAAACATACTCTAATGCTCGCAATGAAAACCAATTTATATGCAAGCTGGAAAACAGATATTAGTATCAATTTTAGTATTGACTGGGTTATATTCCTTTAACCATTTGTAGGCTGCTGAATAAGATGAATATTAATTTTTAATATGTAAAATAATTTATTAAACGACACAAATTCTTCTCCAGTAATTGTATTTAATTAAAAATATATATCATTGTTGTTAAATTTTAAATATTTTGTTTTATTAGTTTTTTCGTGCTTATTCTTTTAATGGCATCCGAAATTTGCAAACTAGAACAGAATTGAATTAATGGCGTCTCTGCTTAGGGCTTGCTTAACCTCCGCTTCGTCCAGACTGAGCTATGCACCTGCCTTTACCGGTGCTGCTCGTCACATTACAACAGTAGGGAAAGATTACACTATTATTGATCACACCTATGATGCTGTTGTCGTGGGTGCTGGAGGCGCTGGTCTTCGCGCCGCTTTCGGTTTGTCTAACGAGGGCTTCAAAACTGCCTGCGTTACCAAACTCTTCCCTACGCGCTCTCACACCGTTGCTGCTCAAGGAGGTATCAATGCCGCCTTAGGTAACATGGAACAGGATCATTGGAAGTTCCATGTTTTCGACACTATCAAAGGATCCGATTGGCTTGGTGACCAGGATGCTATCCACTATATGTGTGAAGAGGCTCCAAAAGCTGTAATTGAATTGGAAAATTTCGGCATGCCTTTCAGCCGATTGGAAAATGGTAAAATTTATCAACGCGCCTTTGGCGGCCAAAGTCTCGACTACGGCAAGGGTGGTCAAGCTCATCGTTGCTGCGCCGTCGCTGATCGTACTGGCCATTCCCTTCTTCACACTCTTTATGGCCGTTCTCTTCGTTACAAAACTGACTATTTCATCGAATATTTCGCTCTTGATCTTTTAATGGAGAACGGAGTTTGCCGTGGTGTTAACGCCATCTGCCTTGAGGACGGAACCATCCACAGATTCCGTGCTAAGAACACGGTTCTTGCCACTGGGTAGGTGTCTGACTTTCTTTAATTGAACACCGTTATAGTGGTTATGGTCGTGCTTACTTCTCTTGCACGTCTGCGCATACCTGCACTGGTGACGGTACTGCCATGCTTACTCGTGCTGGCCTCCCTAACGAGGACATGGAATTCGTGCAATTCCACCCAACTGGTATCTATGGTGCTGGTTGCTTGATTACGGAAGGCTGTCGCGGTGAAGGTGGTTACTTGATCAATAGTGAGGGTGAACGCTTCATGGAGCGCTATGCACCAAATGCTAAGGATTTGGCTTCACGCGATGTAGTTTCTCGTGCTATGACCATCGAAATTCGTGAAGGTCGTGGTGTTGGTCCTCGCAAGGATCATTGCTACCTAAAGCTTCACCACCTTCCTGCTGAGATTCTCAAGTCTCGTCTCCCAGGTATCTCTGAAACTGCTGAGATTTTTGCTGGTGTTGATGTCACTAAGGAACCAGTTCCTGTCCTCCCAACTGTCCATTACAACATGGGTGGTGTTCCGACCAATTACAAGGGCCAGGTTATCACTTACGATCCTGTCTCAATGACGGATAAGATTGTCCCTGGTTTGTATGCTGCTGGTGAGGTTGCTTGTGCTTCTGTCCACGGCGCTAACCGTTTGGGTGCCAACTCTCTCCTCGATATTGTTGTTTTCGGTCGTGCATGTGCTCTTGACATCGCTGAGAAGTGCAAACCCGGCGATACTGGTCCTGAGCTCCATAGTGAAACAGGTATGGAGTCGATTGCTAATATTGACAAACTCCGTACTGGAAAGGGCGAGTTCCCCGTTGGTGATGTAAGTTAAATTGGCATTGCTCTTTATTCTCGTTTTTTGTTAGTGTATTTTACATGCTATATTTTTTCAGGTTCGTCTTGAGATGCAGCATACCATGCAGGAGCATGCCGCCGTTTTTCGTGATGGCCCAGTCCTTAAAGCAGGTGTTGAGAAGATGCTGAAACTTTATGCCGACAAATATGACAACTTGAAGGTTTCTGACAAGAGCCTTATTTGGAACTCTGACTTGATTGAAGGTATTGAACTTCAGAACCTCCTCATCAATGCTGTGCAAACAATTGTTGCTGCCGAAGCCAGAAAAGAATCCCGTGGTGCTCATGCTCGCGAAGATTTCAAAAAAAGAGTCGATGAATACGATTACTCTAAGCCAATTGAAGGCCAAACTAAGAAACCGTTCACCGATCACTGGAGAAAGCACACAATGAGCCACCAAGACGTTAAGACTGGAGCCGTCAAGCTTGAATACAGACCGGTCATTGATAAAACCTTAGATGAAAACGCTTGCCCAGCCGTTCCTCCTAAAATCCGTTCTTATTAAGCGCTTGCGTACTCTAACGCTGTTATTCCCTCCATTCTCCTATTCCAAAGTGAACAAAAAATATAACCCGGTCGTTTAGTGTTTGCTACTTGTAGAATATTTTCCATTTTCATTCTGGAACCCCAGTCTAATATAGTGCTAATAATTATTTCATGTTGTTTTCTACCTTTAAAATGCTAGGCCTTTTCATTTTTTCCAGATTTTGGTGCCACAAGACAGTAATAAGATTGTAGCCTAGTGCAGCATTTTTTATTGACTGAAGGGAGGGGGGAATTGTGAATGGCATCTGAGTGTTTTATTCGCCCTTTGTTGTGGCATGCTACATTACTTAATAAGCCTAATTCTTGCGTAGATAGTTTCTACTTATGGTCCTTACAGTATTGATTTTTTGGCCATTACGAGTGTATCGGTCATTTAATAGCCCTTTTAACCTTCCATATTTCGCTAAGCAGAGGTGACAGTCGTTTTCAGTGGTCAATCAAATGCTACTTAATTTTGTGGTTGTCTGTCCTGAAGAGATGTCCAGTCTGCTTTACCATAACTACTATTCATGGCATTGGAGAATTGATGCTTTTTTCAACCAAGGCCAATATCCAAATCCCCAGTTTTAATGGGGGGAATGAAGAAATAGATCCGAGAACTGCATTTGTGGGAATCTGTTTAACATTCGCATTGGTTAACTCTTAATTTGCACATTTTAAAGTACTCAATAGTTGGAAATCCTATAGGTTTTAACCAATCTATTAGCTTACGAACAGTCTACGTATTTTTAAATCTGCAGTAAGGTCTCTTAAAAGGACGTTTTATCAGCTATCGTCTTCATAATTAATAATAATAACATGGATCGAATAGGGCAGACTCAATGGACATTTCAATTAGCTGGTTGTAGCCTAATCTTTTTACCTGTTGAAGTCCACTGAGTGTTTGATTTTCACTTTTACTCCCCCCCCCACCCCACGCATAGACTGCACTAATAAAATAACCTATTTGTACTTTCGGTTAAATGTTATTGAGAAATAGGCTGGGGGGGGGGGTGAGTTATCTAATTATTAATCTAGTTTTGTTTGAGATCAGCTAGATTGAACAACTAATCATACGTGATTTTGAAATTGTGCTCATTTCTACCGTCACTTAGTTGAATAGACTAAACCTCAAAAATCTTCGCTGGCAAAATCCCCCAGGACAAAGTGCTTGCAGAATTAACTAAGCTACCTCAACAATATTGTATACAGGGAACGTACGTAGCGAATACCATTTACCACAACTTATGGCCTATGACACAAAACATAGTCAATAAAATGCAGCTATTGGCTACTCTACGTTGCAGCAAATACTGGCAGCTGGTTGGCTGACTAGTCTCTGCACGAACGGCCGCACTTGCTTCCTGCGAGATGAGCAGCAGGGTCGCACTTTCCAGATTGTTCAAGTGCTCGTGAGATTTTTTCGTTCACCCTTGGAAGCGTTGTGCACTCCACAATATTCTAGAATAAGAGGAGTAAAGAATTCCATTATTTATTTATATCAAATGGCAGACGTCTTGATGGTTATCATTAGCCCTTTAGTTGACTTCAGACTTCACAGAGGGGAAGGAACATCAAAGTGAAAAAAAGTCGGGAGGGGGGGGGGAACA